GAAGTACCATCAGTACGCTGACGACACCCAGCTGTACATCTCCACCCCGGACCACCCCAACGATGCCCTTGAAGTGATGTCCCAGTGCCTGGAGGCCGTACGGATCTGGATGGGGAGGAACAGGCTCAGGCTCAACCCATCCAAGACCGAGTGGCTGTGGTTTCCGACGTCCCGATATAGTCAGCTAATGCCATCGCTGACTATTGGGGGCAAATCATTGGCCCCCACGGATAGGGCTCGCAACTTGGGTGTCCTCCTGGATTCACGGCTGTCGTTAGAAGAGCATGTGATGGCCGTGTCCGGGAGGATTTTTTCATCAGGTTCACCTGATCCACCAGTTGCATCCCTATCTAGATCAGGACTCCCTACAAACAGTCACTCATGCCCTCGTTACTTCTCGTCTGGATTACTGCAACGCTCTCTACATGGGGCTCCCCTTGAGGTGCACTCGGAGGCTCCAACTGGCGCAGAGTGCGGCCGCGTGGGTGGTGATGGGAGCAACATGGAGTTCCCATGTGACACCTCTCCTGCGCGAGCTGCACTGGCTCCCGGTGGTCTTCCGAGTGCGCTTCAAGGTTCTGGTTATCACCTTCAAAGCGCTCCATGGCTTAGGACCTGGTTATTTACGGGACCGCCTGCTACCACCAATAGCCTCCCACCGGCCAGTACGCTCCCATAGAGAGGGGCTCCTCCGGGTGCCGTCGGCCAAACAATGTCGGCTGTCGGCCCCTAGGGGGAGAGCCTTCTCTGTGGGGGCACCTACGATTTGGAACGAGCTCCCCCCGGAGATACGTAGCATCCCGGATCTGCGCACCTTCTGCCACGCGCTTAAGACTTTTCTATTTTATCAAGCTGGCCTGGCCTAAATCTTCCCCCTTTTAAATGTGGAAATTTTAAATTTTTAAATTTTAAATTCGTCTTTTTATAGGGGTATGGGTAAGGCATTTTAAATTGGGGAGCCATTTTAGATTTAATTCTGTTTTAAATGTATTTTAATTGTTTATATTGTATGTTTTTAACTTTGGCTGTTCACCGCCCCGAGTCCTTCGGGAGAGGGGGCGGTATAAAAATCTAATAAATAAATAAATAAATAAATAAATAATGTTATTGTTTTTATTGTATATATATCAGCCCAGAAACCCTGAAAGTGAATGGGCAGCCATATAACATCAAAAACAAAAATGACTGACACCTGCTCGATCCGTTCATATTCTCTTTTGTGAAAAATTGGTAGAAAATAAATATAGTAACTCCAAAGAACACTTTCAACAATTTCAAAACTAAGCATATATTTTATTGCAAATCTCCGTTATATTATTTCCATTGGCATTGGCTTATTTTTTAAAAAAATAGTTGAACCATTAGCCAATTACAATCTCATCAAAACAAAATAATTATCTCCTACAGGAATCACCATGTTTTTTCCTAGCTAGGCCAAAACACCAAAGGCTGCACAGAAGAGAAGGATATTCAAAAACAATCAAGGTATTAGCTTGGAGATAAAAAACACTTGAATCACAGGAAGTTTGTCACAAGGGTAATAACAGCTCTGTTGACTCATTGCTTCAGGCTTCTACCCTCTCTTCTCTTCTGCCAGAGTATCTGTTCAAATCCTGCTCCTATTCAAGAAACAAATTTGCACTCATGTGGATCTTCAAATAGAAAACGATAGATTTTCTCATTAAGTGCATTCTCAGATATGAACCTTGGATCAATCTTTAGATGAAGTATAGAATTATAGGTACTTCCAATTCAGTAAGATGGGAAGCAAACCATTTTCACAATAACAAAAGCATGAAGATGTTTTTTCTGGTGGTCTTGGTACACAAAGTAGTTACTCTGAGTTGCCCTGCAAGTGATGCTTTCCTTGTTCCACATGAGTGGTACCAGCCTGATGACTTCATCGTTGGTGGCATGACATCTCACATGAATTACCATTTTTTTGAAATTGACTTTAGTGAAAATCCTTCTATAAAACCTTACGAAATTCCAACGTAAGATTTTTTTTCTCTGTAATGTTACCTAGATTTTCAAAAATACTTCATATCACTAAAAAGTTCATTGTGGACAAATGCAGGGTTTTAAATATAATCTATGCCTTTCTTTCTTTCAATTGTATCATGTTATGAAAGAAGAAATAACTTTCTTTACATTATTTTAAAGTTTTTTACATGAAATGAAAAAAATTTCAGATCAAGAAGTCTCTATTTGAACATTTACTGAAGTAAAGATAATTTCTAGAAATTTTTAGTGCCAGGCACAGATGATGTTACCTATTTTGGGTAATGAAATGTCTGCAAGAAAACCATGAATAATGACTGGTATACTAACAGTAGAGTTACTTATACACACTGTTCTCCAGATGTGGAATTCTTAACTGTCATTTATCGGTCATTTTATATATCTAGAGAGATTTCTGATATAGTTATCACTGCTGTCTAAATTTTTGCAGTATATTCATCAAATTTCATCAACATATCCTTGCCTTGGCTTTTGCTGTGAAGGAGATCAATAAAGACTCTCAGATCTTACCTAATGTCACTCTTGGGTTCCACATCTATGACAGTTACTACAATTCAAGAATGACGTATCGCACCACTCTGGACCTACTTTTCAAATCCAAGGAATTTGTCCCTAACTACAAGTGTGAAAGCGAGAAGAATCTTATGGCCATCATTGGGGGACTAGATTTTGTCACATCATCTCGTATTGCTGAAATTACAGGATTCTTCAAAATTCCACAAGTAAGTTGTGAAAGGGCTAAAGGGAAATATATATATATATATATATATATATTCTGTTCTTGATGTTCTGTTGTATTAATTAAGGATCATTGAAGATTAAGCTTCAGTTTCCATTAAAATGTTCTCGGTGACTTAAGGTCTATTAGTTAGTATAATTTTGAAACTACAATGCCAAATACAAAAAGTGAGTATCCACAGACATTCCATACTTGAGGAAAGATTTGAACATACTTTTCTCTGCTTCTATCAAAATAATTGATCAACCTTATGTGTTTGAAATAGTTCCAATAAATTCCTTTCCATATTTATACTTAAACGAATTTCAGGAAAATAATTCATTCCTTGCATATATTTTATATAAAAAATAGAAAGGACAATCAGATTTGATGTAACAACTCAAGAGAATACTACTCCACTTTCTTGCAGCTGACATATGGCTCATTACCCAAAGAGGAATTTGAGACCACTAAACTCTCTTCACTTTATTTCATGGTCCCAAAAGAAGACCATCAGTACATCGGGATCATTCAACTGCTTCATCATTTTAGGTGGACGTGGATTGGGATATTTTCTGTTGATAACAACGATGGAGAAAATTTCTTACAGAAAATGCAGCCCTTATTTTCAGAGAACGGAATCTGCTCATCGTTCATAGAAAGGCTTTCACAACTAATCCACATAGAAGACTTCCAAGAAGTAATTCAAAGAATCTTAATTATTTCCATGAATTGGATAACTAGCCAAGCCAATGCATTTCTTGTCTATGGAGAATCATTGACAATTATGTGGCTAAGATTTGTCACATTTATGACAGATCCTGGAAGCAAGGAAATTGCATTATTTAGAAGGGTATGGATCATGACTGCACAGATTGATTTCATATTATCAGGATTTCAAATCAGTTGGGATCTCCACATGTTCCATGGGGCTCTTTCCTTCACTGTTCATTCAAGAGCAGTTGCAGGTTTCAAGGAGTTTCTTCAGACCATAAATCCTCTTTCAGACTACAGAGATGGATTTCTGCAGGATGTTTGGGAACAATCATTTGAGTGTTCATTTCCAAAACCAGAATTACAAGAAATGCATAGTAGGAAATGCACTGGAGAGATGAAGCTGGAGGATCTTCCTGGACCAGTCTTTGAAATGGAGATGACCGGCCAAAGCTACAGCATCTACAATGCTGTTTATGCTGTGGCTCATGCTTTGCAAGCACTATACACATTGCATTTCAATAGGAAAAAAACTATGAGGTGTAAAAATCCTGACCTTCCACATCTCCAGGCTTGGCAGGTGTTCACTTTGCCTTGGACATTTTTTTTATTTCAATACGCAGTTTGTTGTAAAATTATGTTTTGATCCCATTGTCGAATGTCATAATATTTTCTGCAAGTGGAATCAAGCATGAGAAAGCAACCTAGAAATAAGGAGGACATTTTTATGAAGAGAAGGACAGCCACTTATCTGAAATATCATAGTGTCTCCTCCTTGACTAAGGTGTTGATTTAGAAGACCTCCAGGTCCCTTCTGACTCTGATATATTGTTCTGTCTAAAATAGATACAGAAAAAAGTAGTTTCTGATGTTATTCTGATCATTGAGAAGCTACTGTATGAATTATGGTTAATATGTCACTGGAAGTTATTTAGTAAATCACCACACATTGTACAATAAGCAATAACTGAAATGATAATTTAGATTACTCTTGATTGCCTTCTCCAAAAATAATCAATTCTCCAAGAACTTTCTACATGGCTTCTGAACCTTTCATGGGGAACAAGCTGAGCTTTCTATCTCTAACAGAGTTTTAGAGGAATGAAATAAAAATTTCCCTTCATAGATGTGGAATCCATAGTATGAAACATGAAACACATTTGTAATAATCTCTATCTTGCATCTCTCTATGGAGGAATGCTTCAGCCTCAGATTTTAAAATCTGGCAAAAGGAAATTAATCAGATCACAAACTGTCAAAGAGCTTTCTATCAATGAGGAAAGACTAGATATAATCTAGTAGTGAATCTAAATCATAATTTAAAGAGTTACAAAATTTCAAAATCCTTTATTTCATTCTGTTTCAGTTAATTCTCACGTTTCCTTTTATTGGTATCAAGTTAAATATATAGTGTAGACATGTGCATTATTATAAAATATTGATTATCAAATTTCTAATATTATAGGAATGGGAAGAGTGAGTGAATGAAACTTGGATATGATTTTCTCTTCTCTATTATATTGCTTTTAATTCCCTCTCGCTTTTATTCCCTTTCAAGTAGCTCCATTCATTTCTTCGAGGCATTTCTTTCAACAATTCAGCCAGGGAAAGAGTGTTCCTGAATGAGAAAGGGGAAGCAACAGGTGGATTCGACATCACCAACTTGATCACTTTTCCAAACAGATCCTTTCAGAGAGTTAGAGTTGGAGAGATGGATCTACAGGCTCCAAAAGGAAAGGAATTATTCATTGATGAAGATCTAATTGTCTGGCACCCAGCTTTTAACCAGGTATCAAATTAGTGAATCCACCATGCCTTAATCTATTATGATCCCATATTGAACACAGTTTCCTTAGAAATCTAATTTCTGGTTTTTTTTAAAATAAACAATGGGCTATTCTTTCAAATGTTATGGATGATTAAGGATTCCTCAAACATGATATTACAATGTTCAGAGTTCAGAGTTTACTTTATTGATTAGCCCTTGGGCCATATCAAAGTGCAGAGTTCCAGACACAAATGATTATTAAAATCTGATAAAAACAATTTAAAATAGAATTGGATATAATGCAATTTAAGATGAAATACAGCTTAAAATGATAACTTTGATTAGCCTATTGGCCATATCAAAGCACAAGGTGCAAACACGTATCGCCAATAAAAACTTATACAAACAATTTAAAATAAGAGTAGGGTAAAATACAATAGTTATACAATAAGATACAATATAATTTAACACATAAATATATAAAATAGAATAAAATGACATAAAATTATATTTCCGTGTCACCCTTACAATCTATCCAAATCAGTCCCACGTGATGCAGATCTCAATCGAACCATTTTGTTTAAATACTGCGCTGTGTTAAATGTTATTTTCAGGCTCTGGCTGCACATAAAGTAAGTTGTTTTGATATGGGGATCCCAATGGGTCATTCCTTTGGTATATGGACCCAGGTACCTGTCTCTCACCCTCTTATACAAGTAACAGTCAAATAGGATGTGAGCCTGGTCTTCTACCTCTGCTGCTCCACAAATGCAAAGATACTCATTGTAGGGTATAGAATTTTACAATGTAAAAGCCAGATATTGAATAGGACAATTAGCTTAATGGAATTAGTGGAGGCGAGAAAAAAACAGAAAAATAACAAAACACCAGGTCCAGACAGACTCCTGGCAGAATTATATAAGATATTTCAACAATCACTAGATGAAACCCTGTTAGAAATTTTCAATGAAGCACTTATGAAGGCCAGAATACCTACCTTGTAGGTATTCTTACCTACCCTCACCCTTATCCCAAAAGAGGGTACAGATCAAGAGCAAATCAAAGACTATAGACCCATCTCACTATTAAATGCAGATTATAAACTATTCACATTGATATTTTCAGAAAGACTAAAAAAAGTAATACATTAATGAAAAACCTCACCAAAAATCAGGAGAAAGAATTAAAATCAACATTCTACCACAAATATTATTCTTGTTTCAAGTAGTACCTATAAAATTTTTTGGGGGGGGATTCTTTAAAGATCTAAATAAATTAATAGCAAACTATATTTGGCAGGGGAAAAGATCAACAATTAAAATACAATCATTACAAGATAGTAGGGAAAGAGGAGGTTTTGGACTCCCAGATTGGGAAATTTATTACAAAGCTACAACACTTATTTGGATCAAAGACTGGATGGAATTAAGAAATAAAAGAATCCTAACACTAGAGGGACACTATTTACAAAGAAGGCGGCATGCTTTTTTATGGGAAGGAAAAAATAGACAACACAGTTACTTTCAGAGACTTATTAATTAGAGATGCATTACTACAAACATGGCAAGGGATAAAACAAAATCATTACGATAAAATCCCAGAATAGTTATCTCCAATGTAGGAGCTAATATATCTGAATGTTCTGGACATTGACAAAATTAAAAGATACAAGGATTTATTAAATAGTCAAGGTGAATTGAAAATAAGGCAAGAATTAAAAGAAGAGGGTACAGACATTGATTGGTGGCCGTACATGAAAATACAATCTAGATATAAGACAGATACAATACGGATTCCAAAGAGAAATATACGAATTAGATAAAATCCTTCTAGAAACAGAAGATAAATTGCTAAGAAAAAATTATAATTATTTATTAAATTATAAAATGGAAGAGGAAGTAGTTAAAGAAAACACGATAATTTGGGCAAAATATTTTGGATATAACCTTGAATTGGAGAAATTGGAGAAATTATGGAATGAAAATTATAAACTGACAATGTCTGTACCTTATAAAGAAAATATGTACAAAATGTTCTATGGGTGGCATTTGCCACCAGCAAGACTGGCTAAGGTGTTTCCCAATACCCGATCAACGTGCTGGAAATGCAAGGAACAAAGAGGAACGTATTACCACATGTGGTGGAGGTGTCCCAAAGCAAAACAGTACTGGAGTCAACTTAGATTACAATTAGAAGACATAACCAAACAACACATAGAGATAAAGCAGGTAATATTTTTATTAGGAATACTCCCAGGGTCTTATAAAAAAAATGCAATATTTAATTCTCCATATTATCACAGCAGCAAGAATAATATACGCACAGAATTGGAAAAACAATAATATACCAACCGAAGATAATTTGATTAGAAAAATTTTGGAATGTGCAGAAATGAACTAATTTACAAAGGAGATACAAGAAAAGGAGGAAACAGAATATCATATAGTGGGAGAAAGAGTATGAATGGTTAGAGGAGAGAGATAAAGGGCAAGGAAAGATCAAATAAGGAAGATATAGGAGTAGAAATGTAATAAATAAGAGGAAACAGAATGCAGATTGTAGAAGCAGAATGCAGATTGTAGAAATGAAATTGTGTACACTATTATTTATATGTATATTTGTAAATAAATTAATATTAGAATTGTATGTATAAAGGATACATTGAAATAAGGGAGAAAAAAAATGGATAAATAAGAAATGTTTGGTCATTCCAAAATTGTTAGAAAGAAAAATTTGTTTAAAGATTCTTTTTTGTTTTTTGAAAAAATGCTTAATAATAATAAAAAAAGAAGAAGCCAGGATTACCTATTTGGTAGGCATTACATTTCCACTTGAAATCACAAGAGTGGCCATGTTTCCATGAGATTGTCACCTCCATTTGTACTTATTTATTTACCCTGTTCTTCAGACAGGAGCTTTTTTATATCATTACAATTTCAACATTATTTTAAGTTGTTGATGAAATTTTTACATTCTGCATCCTTTTGGGAAGTCAATAATTGTGTTACCCCATTAAGGAGAAAATTCGGAAACTCTTTTAAAAACTCTCCTTTTCAAAACATTTTCATGTTTATCATCAGGTTCTTCCAATTTCTCAATGTAATGACCCTTGTTTCCCTGGATCCAGGAAGAAGGGGATTGAGGGAAATCAGTTCTGCTGCTTTGATTGTGTTCCATGCCCTGAAAGGAAGATTTCAAATCAAAATGGTAGGCTAGGAATTCTCACATTTCATCAGCTTTAAGCAAACTTTACTAAACTACATGAGTGTTTTTCAATAATTTGGATGGCCTAGATGACAAACTCTTTCATTTTCTTTCCAGATATGGATGACTGTTTTCAATGTCCAGAAGATCATTATCCAAATAAAGAAAAGAAAGGATGTATCCTGAAACTGGTGGTGTTTCTGACCTTTGAAGAAATCTTAGGAATTGGTTTAGCTTCAGCAGCTCTTTGTTTCTTCTTCCTGACATCTTGGGTACTAGGAACTTTTATTAAGCACAAAGATACTCCAATTGTCAAAGCCAATAACAGGTTCCTTACCTACATCCTGCTTGTCTCTCTTCAGCTCTGTTTTCTCTCCTCTTTCTTCTTCCTCAGTAAGCCTGGCAAAGTAATCTGCCTTCTCCGACAATCAATGTTTGGAATCACTTTCTCAGTGGCCATTTCTAGTGTTCTAGCCAAATCCATCACTGTGGTTGTGGCTTTCATGGCGACTAAACCAGGATCTCAGATGAGGAGATGGGTGGGGAAAAGATTATCTTTTTGTATTGTCCTTTCTTGCTCTCTCTTCCAGATATGTATTTGTATTCTTTGGTTGTCAACATCACCTCCATTCCCTGAGTTGGACATGCATTCAGAGTCCCAAAAAATGATTTTACAGTGCAACGAGGGGTCAGCTTGTTTCTTCTTCTGTGTCTTGGGCTATATGGGTGTCTTGGCCATCGCCAGCTTTATTGTAGCTTTTCTTGCCCGTAAATTACCTGACAGCTTTAACGAAGCCAAGTTCATCACCTTCAGCATGTTGGCCTTTTGCAGTGTGTGGATCTCCTTCTTTCCAGCCTATCTGAGCACAAAGGGAAAAGCCATGGTAGCTGTGGAGGTCTTCTCCATCTTGTCCTCTGGTGCTGCATTACTGGGATGCATATTCCTGCCCAAATGCTACATTATTGTTTTTCGACCCGAGTTAAATCAGAGACAGAAACTCATAAAGAAGAATTAATACATCATGTGATCTATCAGGCTCAATGGAACTGTTGAAAAAGGAAATAGAAATACTGCTGTCTCCAGGAGACATACATAAAATTTTAGAAACATAGACTTTTTTAAAAAAGAAGGATTTATATAGGATATTTGTGACTGCTAAAATTTATTTTGATTGCCCGTTTCAACATAAATGTTCATGTTGCTGCATTTTCACAATTTTTCAAGATTTTTTAACCTAATCCTTTCTGCATTTTAACATTCCTGTTGAGCTTGACTTTGATAATCTAGGTTTCTTGGTTCCTATTGAGATATTCCACATAGTGACTTGACCAATGTTCAATTTTTGTAGATACATTTTCATGGCTTTTATGCTTTCAGTTGATAGAGCACTAGATAAACATAGTAAAAAGCTAATTATCATTTTATGAATGTATATTTAACATGCTATTATGGAATATCAGTTTTGGATTTGCTGGGCAAGTTCAAAATGAAAATTCATTGACAGGATATAAAGAGTTTGTCAGGGTGGCAATAAGTCCCATTCCGCTTTTGGGTAATTGAACCTTGATTAGAGAACGGATCATGGCCTTTCCTTGCAAGTATACCTTAAGAAAATAAACCCAAGATATATTCTAATAAACACATTTTATTATAAAGAAGTAAAAACAGTCTTACTAGCTAATTAATTACATCTTGGCAGCATTCCTGCCGGACCTCTTGGCAGGCGAACAAAGAAAGTTAGAAGAAAGTGAAAGAATGTGGACATGCGCAGTTAGCTTAGAGATAAGAGTTCTGATCAGCTACAGTAAGTCTTAGAGTTCAAGCACAGCTGGCAAATACAAAAAAACGCAGTGACAGACTTAATAACTGTAAGCTGATGAGATGTTGTAAGCAACTGGAAGCTGATGCAATAGAATGAGGCAGCAGAGTTACCATCACTTTAAGAAGCAGCGTCAGAAGCTGCCTATATAAAGGAAGCCATTAGATGGCTTTCCTTCTCCTCAAGCCTTCTCCTCATGCATTGTACTTCTTGTTCTCTCGTCATGTGTATATCAATTTCTCTCCGTGTATCAGTAGTTCTAAAGGTATTTAACCACACATAAGTCTATAAATATTTCACTGTAAATAAAACTACTGTTATTTATATAAAATGGCTCTATGTGCTGTGTGCTGTGTTTTGCCCCCTGGGTTTAGCTCATATTACTAGTTACGTTGCCTAATTAACATCCCCAAACTCAATGAATCTGACATTCATTGAGTTTGGGAATCCAATACATTTAACTGCATCTCATCGTTCAAGTGATTCTGAGGGTTTGCACCATCAACAAGAGATATCCTTTCCTTTCTAAGGGGGTCCACAAGGAAGAGGGGGCCAACTTATTTACCAAAGTACCTGAAAGCAGGACAAGAAATAATGGGTGGAAACTAATTAAGGAGAGAAGCAATCTAGAACTAAGGAGAAAATTCCTAACAGTGAGAACAATCTATCAGTGGAACAACTTGGAAGTTGTGTGTACCCACCTCTGGAGCCTTTTAAGAAGAGACAGCCATTTGTCAGAAATAGGGTTAGGGTTACAGTTAGGATAGTCCTATGTGAGCAGGACTAGATGATGACCTTCAAGGTCCCCTCCAACACTGTTACTGTTACCTCTTAAAGTAAGCCAATGACACAATATAATGTCTATGCATCTTTATGCTATGCACTTATCATTCATTGTAAAAAAATAAGTTTTAAAAAATCAAGTGTATGTTGTATTGCAAATTCCCCTCTGTACATTAGCAGGTGTGCAATTGAAAAGAGTTTAACCATCAGCCACTTATTATTTCACCAAAATAATTATCTCCTACAGGAGTCACCACATTTATTAAATGGTGACCTTGTTATTGGTGGGATGGTACCTTGCATCATTTACAATGTCTATGAAATGAATTTTAAGGAAAATCCTTGTGTAAAATCTTATAACTTACCAAAGTAAGGATTTTTTTTCCTGATCTTAATGAATTCCTCCAATTTGCTTATATGAGTAAAAGGTTTTCAGCATAAATGTAGGTTTTATATGTAATCTACGTGTAAGGAGCCGTGGTGGCATGGTAGTTAGAATGAAGTCTGTGAATGAGTACTTTTTCCAGGAGTTCGATCCTGAGGGGCTCAAGGTTGAATCAGCCTTTGGTTTTTCCTGCCCAGATGTAAAACCTTGCTTTTCTCCATATTGAATTTCCTTTTTGGGGTAGGGATAGATAGATCGATAGATCAATTGATAGATAGATAGATAGATAGATAGATAGATAGATAGATATAGACAGACAGAAAGACAGACAGACAGACAGAAAAATAGATAGACAGACAGACAGACGGACGAACATGGATGGATGGAGGGAGGGAGGGATGGATGGATGGATGGATGGATCAGTGATAGATAGATAGATAGATAGATAGATAGATAGATAGATAGATAGATAGATATAGACAGACAGAAAGACAGACAGACAGACAGACAGAAAAATAGATAGACAGACAGACGGACGGACCGACATGGATGGAGGGAGGGATGGATGGATGGATGGATCGGTGATAGATAGAGAGATGATAGATAGATAGATAGATAGATAGATAGATAGATAGATAGATAGATAGATAGATTCAATGGACAGGGTAAACAGCCCAAGTGATAATGAAAGTGCAATCCTAATTCGGATAGAAAGCAGTTACTCTGGACTTCTCTGCAAGTGATGCTTCCTCTTGGTAGCATGATGTCCTACAGAGTTCACCAGTTTTATAAACTGAATCCATGTATAAACCTTATGACATACCATTGTAAGATTTATTTGTTTGTTTGTTTGTGAGAATTTATATTTATTTATTTAATTATTTTGTCAATAAGTACAAGGAAACAAGTATCAGTATAAACATAGACATGGATACATGAAAAGATGGCACAAATAAATGGATAAAAATAAGCAAAACATAGCCATAAACACATAAAATGAGGACATATAAATGGGGACAGTAGGACAGGGATGGTAGGCACACTGGTACAAGCCCCCTTAGGGACCTCTTAAGAAACATGTAAGGTCCACGGTAGACAGTTTAAGGTAAAAGGTATGGGGGTTAGAGAAACTAACAACAGGATCAGGTAGAGTGTTCCAGACATTTACTACTCTATTGCTGAAGTTGTATTTTCTGCAAAAAAGATTAGAGCGGACTGCATTTAGTTTGTATCTATTGATAGCCCTTGGGTTATCATGGTTGAAGTTTTTTTTCTTTTTAATTTGATTTATATGCCGCCCTTCTCCGGAGACTCAGGGCGGCTTACAATGCGTTAAGCAATAGCCTTCATACTTTTGTATATTTATACAAAGTCAGCTTATTGCCCCCACAAACTGGGTCCTCATTTACCTACCTTAGAAAGGATAGAAGGCTGAGTCAACCTTGAGCCTGGTGAGATTCGAATTTACAGTAATTGCAGACAACTGGTGTTAATCATGATGCTTTTTTAGTCTGCTGAGCCACCAGGCCCTTAAATTAAAGTAGCCATTAACAGGTAGGACATTATGGTAGATAATCATGTGTACTAAGCTTAGGTCGGAACATAGACGGTGTAGTTCAAGGATATCCAGGCCTAAAATTTCAAGTCTGATGGTATAAGGAATTTTATTGCGAGTAGAGTAGAGGAGTTCTTGTAAAATACTTCAGGACCCTCTCTAATGTATTAATGTCTGAAATACAGTGTGGGTTCCAGGCAGGTGAGCAGTATTCAAGGATAGGTCTGGCAAAGGTTTTGTATGCCCTAGTTAGAAGTATAGTGTTACCAGAGAGAAAACTTTGTAAAATAAGTTTGACAACTCTTAATGCCTTTTCAGCAATATTGTTACAGTGAGCTCTGGGGCTTAGATCTTTTGAAATGAGTACTTCTAGATCCTTGACAGAGTGAGGGTCGTCTTTTAGATCGTTTCTGCCCAGCTTGTATTTGATGTTATATGGCTGCCCTCTCACTGTCAGAGTTTCTGGGCTGATATATATACATTAAAAACAATAACGTTACCCCCACCCCCATCCCCACACACACAGACTCCTGGGAATAACAAAAATTATATAAGCGACTTAATGGGCTCCATCCTGCTCTGGATTTCAAAGGGCAATACCAGGTCTTCAGATCTATCAAAGGGGGGTTCAATCTAAGCATGATATTCCAAAGATTTATTCTTTTTATTTTTATTTTTATCGTACTTATATGCCGCCCTTCTCCCGAAGGACTCGGGGTGGCTCACAACAATAAAACAACAAGACAGTAAAATGAATACTAAAATAATCCAATTTAAATCCCCGACAGTTAAAACTAAAACCCCCAACAGATCAGGAGATTTGTTGAAAAAGCCACGTCTTCAGGTCACCACGAAAAGAGCGGAGGTCGGGGGCCATCTGGAGCCCAGTGGGTAACTCATTCCAGAGGGTCGGTGTGGCCACAGAGAATACCCTCATCCTGGGCACCAACAGGCAACATTGTCTGGCCAATGGCACCCGGAGGAGGGCAGTCCTATGTGAGCGCACTGGGCGGTGGGAGGCTGGTAGGAGGTGGTCCTGCAAGTATCCCAGGCCCATGCCATGAAGGGCTTTATAGGTAAGTACCAGCACCTTGAAGTGGATCCGAAGGACCACCGGCAACCAGTGCAGCTCGCGCAGGAGAGGTGTAACACGGGAGTAGTGGGAAGTTCCCGTAACAACCTGCGTGGCCACATTCTGGACCAGCTGGAGCCTCCGGGTGCACCATAAGGGCAGCCCCATGTAGAGGGCATTGCAGTAGTCCAGATGAGAGATAACGAGAGCATGAGTGTCTGTACGGAGGGCATCCCTATCTAAGAAAGGTCACAACTGGTGCACCAGGTGAACCTGCGCAAAAGCCCCCCTGGTCACAGCTGTCAGGTGATCAACTAAGGACAAGCGCGAATCTAGGAGGATGCCAAGATTGTGAACCCTTTCAGAGGGAGTAAGCAACTCCCCTCCCATCAAGAGTGATGGGGGTCACTAGATCAGGGGATGCCGGCATCCACAGCCACTCCGTCTTGGAGGGGTTGAGTTTGAGCCTGTTCCTACCCATCCAGACCTGTACTGCCTCCAGGCACTTAGACATCATGGAAAGGGCATCTCTGGGTTGGTCCAAAGATGTTCCAAAGAGAGGGACCTACCATAAGCCAATCT